TATAAACTATACATGAGAAAGAAACAAAAAAGATTTTTGACAAAAAAAACAAGTGAAACTCAATCTGCAGAGGAGGCCTGAGAAATATTTTTTCCAAGTTTAAGAATGAACTTTGGGAGCGTCTGAGACTCCAAAAAAAGTGACACCATACATTGCTCGTAACTGCCCTTTGCCCCGCCCATCACGCCCTTTTTTCCTACAGACAACATAAACAGATTTCTACATCAGACTGTAGAAAATGCAGCCTCCAGTCTGAAGCCAGTGTTAGCCGAATAACGAGTGGACTTCTCAATTCAATGAAACACTCTGGTTACTGCTAATGACACAAAGCCCTAATGTTACACAAAGCACAAATGACTCTGAAATCACAATCATATTAATTTAATACAAAGGTAAAATCACTGCCATGCTAGGTCGCTAATGTTACCAAAACAAACTCTTTAGTTTTTGGCGCTAATACATCGACAAGGAAGAGCGCCACATATGAATTATATTTGAGTCCCTTGGTTACTTTTAACAGTCTCCATCTCAAAAGGCCAAACTGATATTAACCCTGGTTTTTGCGCTTTCTTTACCCACTCTCTCTGTGCAAATGATTGCGATCTCTTCGCCCGACATTAAATGACCCCTGTTACTGTAACACAATGGCAGCTCTCAGGGGGCTGACAGTGAAAAGTGAAAGGTTTAATTCTAGTAGATTTACTGCTGTTTTTGGGCGTTTTAAAGTACACAAACCTGTCAATAAATCAGTGTAGCACTGTTCTATAAACAAGTCATTTTCGCAGTACTGGAAGATGAAACAGTGGCATAGTTCCACTAAAGTGTTGTTTTAGGCCTCTATGTCAGTGGGAGATTTGCTAAAAATTGCCGTTGAATGCATTAAACCAGATGCACGAAGAGTGTCCTTCCTCCATCTGTTCTATTGTCTCAGTGTTCTTCTGGGATGAGGAACGGATGCACCACCGAAGGAGATGCAGGAAATTGTCCTGGCCCACACAACGCGGCCAACTCCTTCTAACCTGTTCGCTAAGGACAAAAGTGCATCTTAAAATGAATGTATGCCTTAATGCAATAATCCATAATGTCACAACAGTTTTTTCTTTTGTTTGAAGAGAAGGATCAACCCAACAGGTCAAACCTTTATCCACACAAGAATGTATTTGTTCCTTTTTTTTTGCCACCTCTTCATATGGTGACTCAACAGCAGCTGCCTGATGTAATGGGAATTTTATAGAGTTTTGCAGATGTTAGATGACTAATCACAGCATT